AAGATACTAAATCGCGTCTACGAGAGGTGGCGGGGCAGTGTTAGTAAAAGAAACCCAGTCAGGCGTATTATGCTGTAAAGTGGACTGCAGATTTTTGTTTGTAATTTGAACCCAGAGTAAATTACACAAAGGATTATTTCCCTCAAATCCACAACAGCCACCAGGACAGACGGAGAAGCAGTGATTTGCTTTCCCTGTCTGACCGCTCTCCAGCATTAGGTGGTGATAACCAGACCCAGGGACGGAGGAACACAATTAATGTCATCGGATTCAGTGGGAAACTGTTTATTCACATAAACGCATGAACATGAATGAAAATGGATTCGTCAATTATAAGCCAACACTGAGGAGAAGTTCCGAGTCCTGATCGTCCGAAAAGGAGGTGAAACAAATGCAGTTTCTTTGTTTGTTGTTGAGAAAGTTAGAATATTTCCGGTGTAATTCGTTGGGACTGTAATACAGCGGGCAGCCACTGGGCGGTGGTGTTGAACTGGTAACATACTCCGCATCTTTGTCTGACTCGAGAATCTCTTTGTCTCTCTGTCTCTCTCTCAAAAACACACTCTCTCTCTCTTTCTCACTTTCACTCGCTCTCTCTTTCTCACACACACCCAATCTCTGTCACGCTTTCTCCGTTGCAGACAGAGAGAGTGAGTGCGAGAGAGACTGACAGTAAAGGAGTGAGTGTCGTCGTCCGTCAGTTGAGGGCGTTGGCGGCCATCTTGGTGAAGGGGGGCTGGGTTGGGTGGTAGGTGTTGTCAGGTCGCGGCGACCATCTTGGTGAAGGCGAATGAGAGCCGGTCGGTGACGTCATGCGCGTGACGCTTGCAGCTTGGCGGCGGCCATCTTGGTAAAGGCAGCAGGGTTGGGCGGGGGGTGGGGGGGGGGGTGGTGCGTTGGGCAGTGACGTCACTTGACCGGGTCTCAGCGCCTGATGGTCCTCACGTGTGAAAGGCTCTGTACGAATCTTATTCGACGTTTAGTAATCAGTGGCAAAAAAGCCGCTCAGCAAAGCTCAAGTTTTTGTCGCTATTTCTTACTTATTTTGCAGCTTTGAGCTGATGACGGACATTCCATGGTTAACAATAATAATGATAATAATAATAATAGTAATAACAATAACAATCCTTGCATTTGACGCAGAGTTATTCGCGTCTTCTCGACACCTCAATGCAGAATAGACTGTACAGCGAATCCACTCTACGTACATCTGTGGGCGAAATCCGGACAGTTTTCCTCAACAGGAATGTTTGAGCCGCTTCTCTCTTTGCTGAGATTTTATAATAATAATAATAATCCTCGCATTTGATGTAGCGCTTTTCACGTCGCGAGGACGTCCCAAAGCGCTTCACAGAACACACTGTAAAGTGAATTGACTGTATATTTGTGGGGAACGCGGCAGCCAATTGCGCACAGCAATGTCCCACAAAGAGTCGTAGATTGAAAATGACCAATTTATTATTGGTTTTGGTTTTGGAGGGATTATTATTAGGCTCTGTGTGGAGTAAGGAAACTTTCCCAAGGTTTCGCCCTGACTGGAACTGAACTCAGGTCTCTCGCTTGCAAAGTGTTTCCTCTAAACACTGAGCCACATTTTCACGATGAATCACGAGCCCCGCGACACGCTGCCGCGTCATGGAGTGACACAGATATTCACGGAATAGCGGGGAATAAAGCCACACTTTCCCACTATTGCGCAGTCACTGTCCGGGCCTTTGAGTGTTAAAGGGTTATCTCAACAGTTCCATCCACGAGGTCTTGTCGGCTTAGGACAACACCGGCCATGAGATCAGGAAGCCAGTCTCCACTCTTTCCCTCTCTCTCTCTCTCTCTCTCTCTCTTTCTCACTCTGTCTCACTCTCTCTCACCCTCGCTCTCTCACTCTTTCCCTCTCTTTCTCTCTCTTTCTCTCTCTCTCTCTCTCTCGCTCTCTCTTACTCTCTCTATCTCTCTGTCAGTCTCCAGCCGGCAATGCCTCGGAGAAACACACACGTTTTTTTTTGCAAGTTACAGTTGATGTAATTCGTGTGAAATCTGATGGTAAAATAATTCTCATTAAGTCCAGGAGAAATAATGTGTTAAACATCACCAGGACTCTATCTGAGACTCACCGACTGTGGTCTCGAAGGGCTCTCGCTCACTCTCACTCGCTCACACTCTCTCTCATTCTCTCTCTCTCTCTCTCAAACACACGCTCTCTCTCACACTATTTCTCTGACTCTCTCACACTCTATCTCACACTCTCTCACAATCTCTCTCACGCATTCTGTGACCATCTCTCTCTCTCTCTCTCACTCACTCTCTGTCAAACATTCTCTCATACACTCTCACAGTCTCTCTCTGTCTTTCACACACTCTCTCTCTCTCACTATCGCTTTCACAATTTTTCTCTCTCTCTTTTAATTATTCTCTCCCATTCTCTGCCTCTCACACACTCCATTGTAGATAGACAGAGTGAGTGTGAGAGAGAGACAATAAAGGAGTCTGTGTCTCTGTGCCAGTGAGGGGAATAGGCGGCCATCTTTGTTAAGTCGCCGGGGTGGGGGAAGTTTGTTGGGGGGGTTTACACTCAAACACACTCTCACTACACATTACAATCAAACAAACAGTCACTACACTTGACACTGAAACACACAATCACTACACATTATATCAAACACTAAATGTGAAACTCAAACACACAGTCACTGCACTTTACAGTGAAACCCACAGTCACTACACTTTGCGCTGAAACACACAGTCGCAACACTTTCTGCTGAAACACACGTTAAGGTGAAGGGTTCGGGGGTGATGACGGTGAGGGTGGTGGACGGGTGGTTCGGGGGTGTGAGTGTGATGGTGAGGACCATGATGAGGGGGTGGGAAGGTGTGGGTGGGGTGAGGGCGTGTTGGGGGGGAGTGAGGGTGAGAGCGGTGGAGGGTGAGGTGGGTTGAGGGTTATTGGGGAGGGGGTTGGGGGCTCAGTCACTGGACCGCGTGAACCTCATTGTGATCAGTTGATGTTTCAGAGTCTGTCAATCAGAACCTTCATTCTGTCTCTTTGAGCTTTGTCTCAAACCTCCCGCCCCCACACCCTCCCACACCACCACCCCCACCCCCACGCACCCACCACTCCCCGACCGCCACCCTCTCTCCTCCCCTCCCCACCCCCCGCAACTATGTGTGACTGTGTATGTGTGACTGTTCGTGTGTGTGTGTGTGAAACAGTGTGTGAGTGTGTTTGTGTGACTGTGCGTGTGTGTATTTGAGTGACTGTGTGAGAGTGTTTGCGTGACTGTGTGTATTTGTGTAAGTGTCAGTGTGTGTGTGTGTGTATGTGAGTGAGTGTGTGTGTGTGTATGTGAGGGAGTGGGTGTGTGAGTGTGTATGTGAGAATGTGAGTGTGTGTGAGTGCGTGTGAATGAGTGTGTTAGGGTACCGGACTCGTTTGCCACCGAGTCCGCCCCCAGAAAATACGTTCGATCTTGAAAAACCGAAATGTTGGATTTTTTACAGTTTATTAAGCTTATTAATAATGTTGGTTATACAGAATTAATGCAACGTAAAATAACGGAGCAATACTACCAGTCCTTCCACAGTCTGCCGTGGAGAGATCTCTAAAATCCAAGCCTTTGCCCAAGCTTATATATCTCTTTCTCCTTTGTCTGCCTTTGTTGGGCGGTTTTTCACTATTCTAGTGCTTAATCGGAAAAAAATCTTATCTAAAAGCACAGAAAAAGGAGGCCAACCAGGGTACAACTCCGCCTGTTTTAAACCAGTTTGTCTGCCATTTGGCTCCCTTGGAGTGTGAGAGAGGGAGAGGGAGGGAGAGAATGTGAGTGAGAGAGAGAGTGTGTGTGAGAGAGGGAGAGGGAGTGAGATCGTGAGAGTGTGAGAGAGAGGGACAGAGTGCGAGGTAGCGTTTGAGAGATTGTGTGTGAGAGAGAGTGTGTGTCAGAGGGTGAGTAGAAGAGAGTGCGTGTGTGTTTGAGAGAGAGAGAATACGTTAGACTGAGAAAGTTGTGAGAGAGTGTGACTGAGAGAGAGAGAGAGAGAGAGAAGGAGAGTGAAAGAGCGAGGGTGAGTGAGCGTGGGAGAGTGTGTTAGAGAGAGGGAATGGGGGAGAAAGAGAGTGTGTGAAAAAGGGAGAGTGAGAGAGAGAGGGATAGTGTGTGAGAGAATGTGAGAGAGAAGCAGTGTGTGAGAAAGAGATAGAGTGCGAGAGAAAGTGTGAGAGTGTGTGTGGTTGTGTGAGAGAGAGAGACTGTAAAAGAGAGTGTGAGAATGAAAGTGAGAGAGAGAGATTGTGAGAAAGAGTGTGAGAGAGAATGTGTGAGTGAGTGTGAGAGGGGAGAGTGAAAGTGAGAGAAAGAGTGAGAGAGTCTGTGAGAGAGAGCGTGTGTGAAAGAGAGAGAGAGATTGAAATTCAGACAGAGAGAGAGAGAGTGAGAGAGAGAGAGAGGAGAGAGAGAGGTTCTCGAGAAAGATTTGAGCCGTGGGCCCAGTGTGAAAGGTGTAGTGTAAACTATACGCTTTATTGTATAACGACACAGATTATAAAAGGTTCAGCCTGGTGGCCATCACAGCCAAACACAGGTCATGGCTGAGGGTTTCCTCCTCATTAATCTGTCACCCGGCAGATCCTCAGAGGATCACAGTTTTTGCCGCCGTCGTTCTTACAGGGACTGAAGAAAGGATAAAGTTTCTCAGTGAAAGTCTGGGTGAAAGTGTGGAGATGAGACATGTTATCAGCGTTGTAAAATGTCACCTGTCCCCCCTCATAATCCAGGTAAACTCCCACCTTCCCGGGTCTCTCCCTCAGGGGCAGGCGGGTGGGAGGTGATGTACATGCTTTATATTCATATCCTTTTCTCAGATACACAACCCAGTATCCATTTCGTGTTGACAGTGGAATGCTGTCTTTCCTGTTGATGGATTCTTTGGCCAATCCCACGTCCCAGTCTGTCTTGTTGGCCACCTGCACCTCCCAGTAATGTTTCCCTGATGTGAAGCCCTCAGACCCCAGGACACAGACATCATTACAAAACCTCTTCGGGGAGTCCGAGAGCTGCTGCCGTATGTCTCCGTGTCTCACGCTGGTCAGGTCCTCAGAGAGGATGAGGTTGGGATGGGCTGTTTCAGAATCCAGAGTCAGAGAGGTCGGAGCTGAGAGAGAGACACAACACAAATTGGAGTGAGGCGACGTCTGGGAGCGCAGAATGTGTGTGAACATATCTACACCTGGAGACACAATCCAGCTCAGAGGGACACAGTCTATGCGAGGGTGTGTGCGATGGAGTGTTTGTGTGTGTGTATAAGAAAGTGTATGTGAGGGTTTTGTGTCTTTTAACTGTGGGTGTGTGAGGGCATGTTTATTTGTGTGTTTGAGAATTGTGCATGAGGAATGTACTTGCGGCTATGTGTGAGGGTATGTTTGTGGGTGTCAGGGTGCGTGTGAGGCTGTATGTGAGGGAGTGAGTGTGTGTTTATGTGTGAGTTATGGTGTGTGTGGAGTATTGGTGGGAGTGTATGAGGACTGTGGATTAGAATGCGAGTGAGGAATGTGGTTGTAATTGTGTGTGAGGATTGGGTTTGAGAGTGTGTGTGACGACTGTGGATGAATGTGTGTATGAAGGTGTTTGTCTGTGTGTAAGTGTGTATGTGAAGATGTGTGACGGTGTGCATGTGTGTGTGTGAGGTATGTGTGTCTGAGGATTTTTTTTTGACGTTATGTGCGTGACTGTTGTCTGTGTGAGGGTGTGTGTGATTGTGTGTTTGTCAATGGGGTGTGTGAGAGGGTTTGCGTATGTGTGTGAAGTGTGTGTGTCCATCAGTTGTGTGTTGTGTTGGTATTTGTGAGGATATGCGTTTGTGAAGGTTGTGTGTTTGTGTGTCTGAGGAGTTTGTTTGTGAGAGTTTGTGCATGAGAGACTGGTGTTTGAGAGAGTTGCGTGTGAGTACTGTTTGTCATGGGTATGTGTGTGAGGATGTGTGAGGTTTGTTTGCATGAGGTGTGTGTGAGGGTGTGTTTGTGCATGTTTGCATTGAGGGAAGTAGGTGTGTGTGTTGGGATCCAGGTGAGTGTATCGCTGTTGACAGGGCTTCAGTGTGAGAATGGGAGATATGTACCTGGGATGATGTTGTCTATAATCTGTCTCCAGAATGTGTTCTTCAAAGACCATTTGTACTTGGCAACAGGCAGCTCAGCAGTCGGTATGTGTATGTGTGAGGGAGTGTGTAGAGGGTATGCGTTGGGATCCAGCTGAATGCAAGTCTGTTGACACGGTTTCAGGATGAGAATGGGAGATATTTACCTGGGCTGATGCCGTGTATCATCTGTCTCCAGGCTGTGTACTGTATAGGCCCTTTGTATATCCCTACAGGCAGCTCATACACACACAGCGAAAGATGAAACCTCTCGTCATTGACCCTGAAATAAGACACGATCACATTATAAAGTGAAACTGCACCTTGCGTTTGGTTTGTGGGTTCAATTGTGGAATGTTTGGTAAAGATCTTTTCGTACCTTCTGTTGCCAGCAGCTTCCGCCTAATGAAATGAAACACAGACAGATGTTAGCTCGCACTGTGACACCACCAAAAACAACAACTTACATGACAACAGAATCTCTCATGTGCCAATTCAATATCTGATCTCTTTATCAATCACAATTGGATTGTCTGCTCCAGACTATGTGTAACTGTTACTGAACTACATTATAATGTCATCTCTTTACCTGCAGGAAGGTAAGATCGTCTTTTCTCATTTGTGTCTGTAACTCGGAGAGTTCTTGTTCAACAGAATGTAATTTGCACTGAATTTCTCGCAGATTTCTCTTCATTCGCTTTATAACCTCTTCCTCTCGCTGTCTGAGATCCCCCATCACTCGCTGCTCTCTGTCAGTCAGACTCTGGTGCATTTTAGCAAACTCACCCGCGACGTGGGTCTGCAGACCCTTAACCTGTTTCTGTAAATGTCAGACATGCGACAATGTACACACGGTAACCAGAGACACTCAGACATCACAACGTTTACAAACAGTAACGAGAGACACTGAGACATCACACCGTCTGCATACAGTAACCAGAGACACTGAGACATCACACCGGGTACACACAGTAACCAGAGACACTGAGACATCACACCGTCTGCATACAGTAACCAGAGACACTGAGACATCACAACGTGTATTCACAGTAACAAGAGACACTGAGACATCGCACCGTGTACACAAAATAAGCAGAGATACTGAGACATAACAACGTGTACAAACGGTAACCAGAGACACAGTGACAACCCAGACATCAGCCCACACACAACTTACCTTAAGTTGTGAAATCTTTTCTCTCTGTTTGGCTTCAGCTTGTAGAGCCTTTCCCTTCCTCTGTGTGAGTGAAGCTAAGGAGGATTTCACTTGATCCTGCAATAAATTGACAAAATAAAAGTATTTGACGTGAAAACATGACGTGGAAACAGAATGAATCCCTCGTGAGTTTATCGGTACCTTGTAGATTTCAGCAGCTTCGTCAATGGGAAGGAAGCTGTGGCCTCTGTGTTCTTTCGCATCTCTGCAAATGGAACAGATCAATTTCTTGTCAGTTTCACAGAACAGCTTCAGGTCCTCCCGGTGTTTCTCACACTGACGTTTAACTGCCGTCTGTGTCGGGTCTAGACAGAATTCACGAGCTTTCTCCACCATTTTGGCCAGAGCCCGATTAACCTGGAGTTTCCTCTCAGCAGTAACTTGGCGACATTCCGGACATGATCTGTTCTCCTGCTTTTCCCAGCTCCGGGTGATGCAGGAACGACAGAAGTTGTGGCCACAGCCCAGACTAACAGGATCAGTGAAGAAATCCAAACAAATGGCACAGTTTAGCTCCTCGGTCCAGCACTCAGCCTGGAGTCCAGAAGCCATGTTCAGCCCCAACACTAACCTGTTTGGCTTCTCAGACTATATGTGGACGTGGCAAAGGCTCAGTTGCCTCCCAAACCGGTTCCTCAGGTTTGCGATGACATTATTATTGTATCAGAAAAAATTTCGACTGAAAGCGCAGAGAGGAGAGGCCCACAGCCAGAACCACACATCTGTCCACAGCCCAGTCTCATTGCCAATGGCCTCGCAATCACACAGTCTGAGCTGATCCTCCGATGCACTGCTGGGGCTGGTGCTGTATGGTTCAAAGTGTGGTGCTTCGGATGAGACGTAAAACCAAGGTCCGGTCTGCCTGCTCGGGAGGACTGTAAAAATCTCCTGGCGCTATTCCAAGAGAAGGGAGTGTCTCTATCTCTCTGCGTCTCCTGGAATGATTATCTGTGCCGATGTATGAGCTCTGGGGAAGGGAAGGGCTGTGTTCTGGACACACGTTTTCTCTTTCGGTTCTGGTTGCCATGACATATATGAGCGACTTGAACAGATGAGAATGACATGCGTCAGAGGAACAAACTGTGCGACAATTAAACCAGAGATTTTAGACAAAGCTGTACAGAGGAACCTTTTCCAGGTGTCTTATCTTTTTTTCAACGCATCGAACACGTGAGAAGAGAATGGTCTCATTGCCCTGAGAGCAGCACAGGAGGAGATTGGGGGATGTGAAGGGAAATTTTAGGCCAGACTGCAGAGAGGGGGTTTAATCAATGGAACAAATTAACGCGATAGTCATAGTTTTGGGCATAGTGTGACTTTGAGGCATGTGCGAAAAAACTCGGTACCCCCATTAACCCAGTCCTTGTTAAACTCGATCGGCTCCCTGTCACAGAGCGGATCAATTTAAAGGTTCTCAAACTTCTAGTTAAATGCCTTCATGCCCTGTCACCCTGTAACATGCTCTCTCCCTACATTACTACACGCTGCCTCCGCTCGACTGGCTCCAGCCTCCTCCCTGTCGCCCACACGCTCCACAAAGATGTGAGATGGCTGAGATTATATCAGTCCCGTAGTGCACTGGTTGTAAAGCTCATCTTTGCAAGCAAAGCAAGAGGACCCGGGTTCCATTCCCAGCAGGTCAATACCAAGGCAAGTTTCCTTACCCCACTATATACCGAGCACTGAGTACGAACCCCGTGGTCAGTCGCTTGGCGGATCACTTTATGTTGATAATTATCCATTAAAACATTCCATGATCGCTCAATGCACAACTGTTTGGGGGACTTACTGCTGAGAGCAATTGGATGTTGCATTTCTTCCATACAATATACAGTCAGTTCACTTCACTGTATATTCTGGGAAGCGCTTTGAGTCGTCTCGAAGTCCTGTCCAATCACTGTATTAAATTGAAGTATTCTTAACTTTAATTGTGTTATTATCAGACGGTTAGATTTCAGTAATGGTAATTTCATCAATAATAATCCTAACGTTTGATACATTGCTGTGGAGCGTCATCAATCGTCTCAACGTGCTTCACAGTTTATACAGTAAAGTGTAGTGACTGTATGTCATCCGCGCCAAACAGTGCGATAAGCAAAAGTTTTTCCACAATCTTTGAAAGCAATGTTGTGTATTCTTTCAGGTGTGTGTAAGAGGTGAGTGTGTGAGGCATGAACACATGTGTCTACGATAGGTGTTGATGAGGTGTCTGTGAGGTGTGTGAGTGGTGTGTGTGAGGGCTTTGTTTGAGGAGTGCTGTGAGGGATGTATGTTTCAGATATGTGTGAGGTGTGAGAGAGGGTTGTGTGTGAGATTTGTGTGCGTGTGTGTGTTGTGTGTGTGCAAGGCGTGTGTGTGTGTGAGGTGTCCGGGTGTCTGTGAGGGTGTTGCTATTATGTGCATATGTGAGAGAGGAGTCGTTATGTGTATGTGTGAGGGAGTGTGTGGAGGGTATGTGTTGGGAGCCAGGTGAATACATGTCTGTTGACACAGTTTCAGTCATGAGAATGGGAGACACTTACCTGGGCTGATGCCGTGTATCATCTGTCTCCAGGCTGTGTACTGTATAGGCCCTTTGTATATCCCCACAGGGAGCTCATCCTCACACACCGACAGATCAAACTCATCGTCACTGACCCTGAAATAAGAGACGATCACATTATAAAGTGAAACTACACCTTGTGGTTGGTCTGTGGCTTCAAATCTGGAGTGTATGGTAAAAATCATTTCATACCTTCTGTTGCCATCAGCTTCCTCCTAATGAAATCAAACACAGACAGAAGTCATCTCAAACTGAGTCACCACCGACAACAAAAAGTTACTTGTGGATTGCGTCTCTCAAGACCCAATGCAATCTCTGATCTCTTTATCAATCACAATTAGATTGTTTGCTCCAGAATTTTGTGTAACTGTTACTGAACGATATTATATTGTCATCTCTTTACCTGCAGGAATGTGAGAGCGTCTTTTCCCATCTGTGTCTGTAACTCGGAGAGTTCTTGTTCAACAGAATCTAATTTGCACTGAATCTCTCGCAGATTTGTCTCCATTCGCAGCAAAACCTCCTCCTCCCGCTGTTTGAGATCGCACATCACTCGCTGCTCTCTGTCAGTCAGACTCTGGTGCATTTTTGCAAACTCAGCCGTGACGTGGGTCTGCAGACTCTTAACCTGTTCCTGTAAATGTCAAACATCCGACAATGTACACACAGTAACCAGAGACACTGAGACATCACACCGTGTACACACAGTAACCAGAGACACTGAGACATCACACCGTGTACACACAGTAACCAGAGACACACTGACAGCCCAGACCTCAGCCCCGACACAACTTACCTTAACTTGTGAAATCTTTTCTCTCTGTTTGGCTTCAGCTTGTAGAGCCTTTTCCTTCCTCTGTGTGAGTGAAGCTAAGGAGGATTTCACTTGATCCTGCAATAAACGCACAAAATAAAAGTGTTTGACCTGAAAACATGACGTGGAAACAGAATGAATCCCTCGTGAGTTTATCGGTACCTTGTAGATTTCAGCAGCTTCGTCAATGGGCAGGAAGCTGTGGCCTCTGTGTTCTTTCGCATCTCTGCAAACAACACACAGCAATTTCTTGTCAGTTTCACAGAACAGCTTCAGGTCCTCCCGGTGTTTCTCACACTGACGTTTTACTGCCGTCCGTGTCGGGTCCAGATTGAATTCACGAGCTTTCTCCACCATTTTGGCCAGAGCCCGATTAACCTGGAGTTTCCTCTCAGCAGTAACTTGGCGACATTCCGGACATGATCTGTTCTCCTGCTTTTCCCAGCTCCGGGTGATGCAGGAACGACAGAAGTTGTGGCCACAGCCCAGAATAACAGGATCAGTGAAGAAATCCAAACAAATGGCACAGATTAGCTCCTCGGTCCAGCACTCAGCCTGGAGTCCCGAAGCCATGTTCAGCCCAAACACTAACCTGTTTGGCTTCTCAGACTATATGTGGACGTGGCAAAGGCTCAGTTGCCTCCCAAACCGGTTCCTCAGGTTTGCGATGACATTATTATTGTATCAGAAAAAATTCCGACTGAAAGCGCAGAGAGGAGAGGCCCACAGCCAGAATCACACATCTGTCCACAGCCCAGTCTCATTGCCAATGGCCTCGCAATCACACAGTCTGAGCTGATCCTCCGATGCACTGCTGGGGCTGGTGCTGTATGGTTCAAAGTGTGGTGCTTCGGATGAGACGTAAACCCAAGGTCTGGTCTGCCTGCTCGGGAGGACTGTAAAAATTTCCTGGCGCTATTCCAAGAGAAGGGAGTGTCTCTATCTCTCCGCGTCTCCTGGAATGATTATCTGTGCCGATGTATGAGCTCTGGGGAAGGGAAGGGCTGTGTTTTGGAGACATGCTTTCTGTCTCGGTTCTGGTTGCCATGACATATATGAGCGACTTGAACAGAGGAGAATGACAAGCGTCAGAGGAACAAACTGAGCGACAATTAGACCAGAGATTTGAGACAAAAAGCAGCTCAGAGGATCCTTTTCCAGGTGTCTTATCGTTTGTTAAACGCATCGAACACGTGTAAAGAGAATGGTGTCATTGCACCGAGAGCAGCACAGGAGGAGATTGGGGGATGTGAACGGCAATTTTAGGCCAGACAACAGAGAGGGGGTTTAATCACTGGAACAAATTACGGCGAAAGTCATAGTTGTGGGCATAGTGTGACTTTAAGGCGGGAGCAAAAAACTCTGTACCCACATTATCCCAGTCCTTGTTAAACTCGATCGGCTCCCTGTCACAGAGCGGATCAATTTAAAGGTCCTCAAACTTCTAGTTAAATGCCTTCATGCCCTGTACCCCTGTAATCTGCTCTCTCCCTACATTACTGCACACTGCCTCCGCTCGACTGGCTCCAGCCTCCTCGCTGTCGCCCACAGGCTCCACAAAGATGTGAGATGGCTGAGAACATATCAGTCCCGTAGTGCAATGTTGGAATGCTCACCTTTGCAAGCAAAACAAGAGGACCCGGCTTTCACTCCCAGCAGGTCAATACCTAAGGCATGTTTCCTTGCTCCACTAGATGCCGAGCACTGAGTACGAATCCCGTTGTCAGTCGCTTGGCGGATCACTTTATGTTGATAATTATCTATTAAAACAATCCATGATCGCTCAATGCACAACTGTTTGTGGGGAGTTACAGCTGAGAGCAATTGGATGTTGCAGTTCTTCCACAAAATATACAGTCAGTTCACTTCCCTGTATATTCTGGGAAGCGTTTGAGACGTCTCGAAGACGTGATCAAGCGCTGTAATAAATGGAAGTATTCTTAACTTTAACTGTGTTTTATCAGATGGTTAGATTTCAATGATGGTAATTTCATTAGTAATAATCCTAACGTTTGATACATTGCTGTGAAGCATCATCAATCGTCTCAATGCGCTTCACAGATTATACAGTAAAGTGTAGTGACTGTATGTCATCTGCGCCAAAAATTTTCTACAATCTTTGAAAGCAATCGTAAGGAACCCAGCGACAGACTGTTCTGTAACAATCATAGACATTTAAAAAAGTGACTGCATGATGAGAAACACAGAGCAAATGTCTTGCAACAATAATTCGCTTAAAAAAAGTGCAGTTAATTTACTCTTCAATCTATTGTGTGAAGAGCTTTCCGACGACTCCAAGAAAGGACGAGGCGGTATATCAAATGCACGAATTATTCCGCTGATGTTGCAGCAGCGTTTACTGTAAATGTCTCTTCCTTTATCCCTTTGCTGCGCAAAACCACAACGGTGACATCAGCGCGAATGCTCAACAGCGTGTGTGCACCACATGCTCCCAGGTGGGGAGGCGTGTGAGCAGTCACTCGGACAAGTCAGTGGCAATACATGAACATGTCGTTGGCCGCACATTTAACTGCGGAGGTGCGCACATGTACACTCCAGTGGCTACACATGTGTGCGCGAATGCCGATGAGGTTGTGAGGGTGAGCTGTGAGTGTGCATGGGGGAGACACCAGGGCTGGAGCTTCAGCCTCTCCCACTGCAAGGATAACCTTCCCTGTTAGTTAGTCAGTTAGTCAGTCAGTTAGTTATCTAGTAAGCTATCAGGGCTTCGGCTGCTTAGGATATGGTGAAGGTGTGGCTGAGGGAATGGGAGCCATCTTTGCCTGTCGGAGGCGGCTGGTGGCTGGTGAGAGAGTGAGCGATGGGACAGTTGGGGCTGCTGCTCTGGGACAGGACGGGACTGGGCGGGGGCTGCCAACTCTGGAGCAGAGGGAGGTCACGGTGGGAGTCCACGAGAGAGAGAAGGCGGCGTGGGAGGGAGGGAGTGCGGTGGGAGAGAAGGACATCATGGGAGGAGCGGATGGAGGGCGGGCGGGTTTTGGAGGAGGAGGAGCATTTGAACGCAGAGATGGGGAGCGAGGGATCAATGGGACAGTGTCAGCCCGTGGGCTAAAGAAGCCATCGCGGTGGGTGGCGTAGGGGGGGCGGGGGGGCTGGGGATGGCGGTCATGGCTGAATTGCCAGAGAGCGGGAGGGGAGGGAGGACAAGGCAGCAGAAGGATAATGGCGGGGACTTGCCCCACCCTCGCGGGTTTGAAACTGGCGCCAGGAAGTCACGTCACTCTCATCACTCGACCCGGGCGGCATTCCGAATTGGCGCCCGGAAGTGACGTCCGACAGCGCGAGACCTGACCGCTATTGAGTGACGTTTCAATGTCGGTGGTGGGGCTGAAGCCGCTCGTGGTGAACAGGCGGTGACTTCACCACATCTCATCCCGTCGGTGCCCGTCCGCGTCCTTTTGTCCCCGACACCCTCGGCCCTCTCCCTCCGCTGTTCGCGGCTAACGCTCGGTTTACCCGGGGTGTCCCGACCGTCCCCGCCGCACGTCGGCTCGCGGCTCAGCCCACTACGTCAGTCACACGACGTCACTGCCCGACTCCCGCCGCCTTTACCAAGATGGCGGGCGCCAGGCTCCTGACGTCACACGCATGACGTCACTGACCGGACTCATCGCTGTTACCCAGACGGCCGTCACCACCTGATTCCCCCCCCCCCCCCGACCCTTTCACACAGATGGCCGCCAGTGCCCTTCAGAAAGGCACAGAGATACACTCCTCTACAATCTCTCTCTCTCACACTCACTCTGTCTGTCTGACATGGAAAGAGAGAGAGTCAGAGAGAGAGTAAGACAGAGAGTGAGAGGGAGAGATAGAGAGGACCCCGAGAAAGGTTTGAGCCGTGGGCCCAATTTGAAAGGCTTAATATAAATTACAAGCTTTATTGTATAGCGACACAGATTATAAAAGGTTCAGCCTGGTGGCCATCACAGTCAAACACAGGTCATGGCTGAGGGTTCCCTCCTCATTAATCTGTCACCCGGCAGATCCTCAGAGGCTCAGAGTTTTTGCCACCGTCGTTGAACAGAGGACGGAAGTAAGGATAACGTTTCTCAGTGAAAGTCTGGGTGAAAGTGTGGAGATGAGACATGTTATCAGCGTTGTAAAATGTCACCTGTCCCCCCTCATAGTCCAGGAACACTCCCAGCTTCCCGGGTCTCTCTCTCAGGGGCAGCCGGGTGCGAGGTGATGTACAAGCTTGATATTCATTCCCGTTTCTCAGATACACAGCCCAGAATCCCTTCTCTGGTGACAGTGTGATCTGTCCTTTCCGGTTGACAGACTCTCGGGCCAATCCCACATCCCACTTGGTCTTGTTGGCCACCTGCACCTCCCAGTAATGTCTCCCTGATGTGAAGCCCTCAGACCCCAGAACCATCGCATATTTACTAAACCTCTTCGGGGAGTCAGGGAGCTGCTGCCATGTGTCTCCGTCTCTCACGCTGGTCAGGTCCTCAGACAGGATGACCCGGGGATGCGCTGTGTCAGGGTCCAGAGTCAGAGAGGCCGGAGCTGAGAGAGAGAAACAACACAAAGTGGAGTGATGGGACGTCTGGGAGCTCAGACTATGTCTGAACACATCTACACCTGGGGACACATTCCAGCTCAGAGGGTCACAGTCTGTGTGACGGTGCGTGTGAGTGTGTGTGAGTTTGTGTGAGGGTGTGTGTCGGGGAAGTGTGTGAGCGGCTGTATGAAGGTGTGTGTGAGAGGCTGTGTGATGGGATGTGTGAGTTTCCGTGTGAGGGTGTGTGAGTGGATGTGTGTGCGAATAATTGTGAGGGTGTGTGTGAGTGGATGTGTAAGGGTGTGCCTGTCAGCAGGGTGTTTGAGGGTGTTTGTGAGGGTGTGTGTTTGAGGTTGTGAGTGTGTGCGACGGTGTGTGTGAGGTTGTTTGTGAGGGTGTGTGTGATCGGGTATGTGTGAATGTGTGTATGAGAGTTGCGTGTGATGGTGTGTGTGACTGTATGTGTGATAGATTGTGTCATGATCTGTGTGAGGGGATGCGTGAGGGGATATGTGAGGACGTGTGTGATATGTGAGTGTGTGTGAGTGTGTGTGCAAGGGGTTTTGAGGGTTTTGAGGGGTGGTGTGAGGGGTTTGTGAGGGTCTGTTTGAGGGTTTGTGAGGTTGTGTGTGTGGGCGTGTGAGAGTGGTTTGTGAGGGTCTGTGTGGGGATGTTTGTGAGGGGGTGTGTGTGAATGTTTATATGAATGTGTGTGGGAGGGCTTTTGTGATGGTTTGTGTGAGGAGGTTCCTGAGGGCGTATGTGCGCGTGAGTGTCTGAGGTGGAGTGAGAGGGATTGTATGAGGGTGTGTGTCAAGCTACGTGTGAGGATGTGTGTGAGGTGTGTCTGTGAGTGTGTTTGAGGCGTGCGTGTGAGGTGTGTGTGGGGGTGTGTGAGGGTGCGTGTGAGGGGTACACACCTCTGAGGGTGTGCGAGAGTGAATGTATGTGTGAAGTTGTGTGTGAAGGTGTGTGAGAGGGGATGTATGAAGATTTGTGTGAGGGTTTGTGTGAGTGTGTGTGGGGGGGGGGCTGTGTGAGAGGAATGTGTGTGTGTTTGAGGGAATGAGAGAGGTGGTTATGTGAGGATGTGTGAGGGTACGTGTGAGGATGTGTGTGAGGGGTATGTGACGGTTGTGTTGATGGGTGTGTTTGAGGGATGTGTGAGGTTTGTGAGGTTGCATGTGAGTGGTGTGTGTAAGGGTTTGTGTGAGCGGTTGTGAGAGGTGTAGTGTGCTGATGTGTGTGAGGGTGTGTTTGACGATGCGTGTGAGTTGTTGGGTGTGAGGGTGTGTGTGAGGGTTTGTGTGTGAGCGGGTGGTGCCTGAGTGTGAGAGTTTTGTAAGGGTTTTTGTGTGAGGGGATAGGTGAGTGTTTGGGTGAGCGTGCATGTGAGGGTCTGTACGAGGATCTGTGTGAGGAGGGAAGGGTTGTGAGAGGTGTGAGTGGGTGTGTGAGGGCGTGTGTGTATGACAGTGTAATAATATTAATAATAATAATAATAATAATCCTTGCATTTCATATAAAGCTTTCCAGCATTTTTCGACGTCTCAAAGCGCTTCACAGAATATAATATGAAGTGAATTGACCGAACATTTGTGGTCAAAACGCGCCAGCGAATTGCGCACAGCAGCGACCCACAAACAGCCGTGGATTTAAAATGACCAATTTAGTATTGTTTTTCTTTTTTGGAGGGATTCTTATCAGTTGTGTGGAGTAAGGAAACTTGCCCAAGGATTCACCCTGCCTGAGATTGAACCCATGTGTCTCGCTTGCAAGGCGAGTGCTCTAAACACTGAGCTTCAGGACTCCACATACAGGATGTGTGTATGAGGGGGTGTGAGATGTTGTGTTTGAGGGTGTGTGTGAACGTGGGCGTGAGGGAGTGTGGGAGCGTGTATGTGAGGGTCTTTATGACGGTCTGTTTGAGGCTGTGTGTGAGGGGCTGTGTGAGTGGTTGTGTGAGGTTAATTATTTTGTGTGCGTGTGTGCGTGACTGTGTGTGTGAAGGTGTGCGCGAGGCTGTGCGTGAGAGGGTGTGAATGTGTGAGTGACGTGTGTTTCAGGGTTAAGTCTGTAATAGACGTATGTGAGATGTGTGTGTGTGTGTGAGGTGTGTTTGTGGGTGAGGCGTGTGTGAGGGATGTTTGTAAGAGGTGTGAGAGAGAGCTGTGTAACGTAAGCAGCGCGTATGTGAGAGTTGTGTGTTTGAGGGGTGTGTGTCAGGTGTGGTTAAAGAGTTTATGTTTGGTTTGTGTGAGATGTGTGTGAGCGTTCTGTGCGAGTTTTGTGCGTTACTAGTATTCTGAGGTTTGTGTGTCAGATATGAGTGTGTTGTGTATTCTTTCAGGTGTGTGTAAGAGGTGAGTGTGTGAGGCATGAACACGTGTGTCTACGATAGGTGTTGATGAGGTGTCTGTGAGGTGTGTGAGTGGTGTGTGTGAGGGCTGTGTTTGAGGAGTGCTGTGAGGGGTGTATGTTTCAGATGTGTGTGAGATGTGAGAGAGGGTTGTGTGTGAGATTTGTGTGCGTGTGTGTGTTGTTTGTGTGCAAGGCGTGTGTGTGAGGTGTCCGGGTGTCTGTGAGGGTGTTGCGATCATGTGCATATGTGAGTGAGGAGTCGTTATGTGTATGTATGAGGGAGTGTGTGGAGGGTATGTGTTGAGATCCAGCTGAATGCACGTCTATTAACACGGCTTCAGGATGAGAATGGGAGACATTTACCTGGGCTGATGCCGTGTATCATCTGTCTCCAGGCTGTGTACTGTATAGGCCCTTTGTATATCCCCACAGGCAGCTCATCCTCACACACCGACAGATCAAACTCATCGTCACTGACCCTGAAATAAGAGACGATCACATTATAAAGTGAAACTGCACCTTGTGGTTGGTCTGTGGCTTCAATTCTGGAGTGTATGGTAAAAATCATTTCATACCTTCTGTTGCCATCAGCTTCATCCTAATGAAATCAAACACAGACAGATGTCAGCTCACACTGAGACACCACCACCAACAAAACGTAACATGTGGACTGCGTCTCTCAAGACCCAATGCAATCTTTGATCTCTTTATCAATCACAATCAGATTGTTTGCTCCAGAATTTTGTGTAACTGTTACTGAACGATATTATATTGTCATCTCTTTACCTGCAGGAATGTGAGAGCGTCTTTTCCCATCTGTGTCTGTAACTCGGAGAGTTCTTGTTCAACAGAATCTAATTTGCACTGAATCTCTCGCAGATTTGTCTCCATTCGCAGCAAAACCTCCTCCTCTCGCTGTTTGAGATCGCACATCACTCGCTGCTCTCTGTCAGTCAGACTCTGGTGCATTTTTGCAAACTCAGCCATGACGTGGGTCTGCAGACTCTGAACCTGTTCCTGTAAATGTCAGACATCCGACAATGTACACACAGTAACCAGAGACACTGAGACATCACAACGTGTACACACGGTAACCAGAGACACGCTGACAGCCCAGACATCAGCCCCGACACAAATTACCTTAACTTGTGAAATCTTTTCTCTCTGTTGGGCTTCAGCTTGTAGAGCAGTTTCCTTCCTCTGTGTGAGAGAATTTAATGAGGATTTCGCTTGATCCTGGAATAAATACACGGAATAAAATGGTTTGATGTGAAAACATGACGTAGAAGCAGAATGAATCCCTCGTAAGCATATGTTTACCATGCAGAATTCAGCAGCTTCGTCAATGGGCAGAAAGCTGTGGCCTCTGTGTTCTTTCGCATCTCTGCAAATGGAACAGATCAATTTCTTGTCAGTTTCACAGAACAGCTTCAGGTCCTCCCGGTGTTTCTCACACTGACGGTTAACTGCCGTCTGTGTCGGGTCCAGACTGAATTCACGAGCTTTCTCCACCATTTTGGCCAGAGCCCGATTAACCTGGAGTTTCCTCTCAGCAGTAACTTGGCGACATTCCGGACATGATCTGTTCTCCTGCTTTTCCCAGCTCCGGGTGATGCAGGAACGACAGAAGTTGTGGCCACAGCCCAGACTAACAGGATCAGTGAAGAAATCCAAACAAATGGCACAGATTAGCTCCTCGGTCCAGCACTCAGACTGGAGTCCAGAAGCCATGTTCAGCACAAACACTAACCTGTTTGGCTTCTCAGACTATATGTGGACGTGGCAAAGGCTCAGTTGCCTCCCAAACCGGTTCCTCAGGTTTGCGATGACATTATTATTGTATCAGAAAAAATTCCGACTGAAAGCGCAGAGAGGAGAGGCCCACAGCCAGAACCACATAGTCTGTCCACAGCCCAGTCTCATTGCCAATGGCCTCGCAATCACACAGTCTGAGCTGATCCTCCGATGCACTGCTGGGGCTGGTGCTGTATGGTTTAAAGTGTGGTGCTTCGGATGAGACGTAAAACCAAGGTCCGGTCTGCCTGCTCGGGAGGACTGTAAAAATCTCCTGGCGCTATTCCAAGAGAAGGGAGTGTCTCTATCTCTCTGCGTTTCCTGGAATGATTATCTGTGCCGATGTATGAGCTCTGGGGAAGGGATGGGCTGTGTTTTGGAGACATGTTTTCTCTCTCGGTTCTGGTTGCCATGACATATATGATCGACTTGAACAGAGGAGAATGACAAGCGTCAGAGTAACAAACTGAGCGACAATTAGACCAGAGATTTGAGACAAAAAGCAGCTCAGAGGATCCTTTTCCAGGTGTCTTATCGTTTGTTAAACGCATCGAACACGTGTAAAGAAAATTGTGTCATTGCCCTGAGAGCAGCACAGGAGGAGATTGGGGGATGTGAAGGGCAATGTTAGGCCAGACAGCAGACAGGGGGTTTAGTCAATGGAACAAATTAACGCGATAGTCATAGTTTTGGGCATAGTGTGACTTTGAGGCATGTGCGAAAAAACTCTGCTCTCTGCTCTCGCCCTACATTACTACACGCTGCCTCCGCTCGACTGGCTCCAGCCGGCTCCCTGTCGCCCACAAGCTCCACTAAGATGTGAGATGGCTGAGATTATATCAGTCCCGTCGTGCACTGGTTGTAAAGCTCACCTTCACAAGCAAAACAAGATGACGCGGGTTCCACTGCCAGCCGGTCAATACCTAAGGCAAGATTCCTTACCCCACTATATGCCGAGCACTGAGTACGAACCCGGTTGTCAGTCGCTTGGCTGATCGCTTTATTTTGATAATTATCCATTAAAACAATCCATGATCGCTCAATGCACAACTGTTTGTGGGGAAATACTGCTGAGAGCAATTGGATGTTGTATTTCTTCCACAAAATATACAGTCAGCTCACTTCACTGCATTCTGTGAAGCGCTTTCAGACGTCTTGAAGACGTTATCAAGCGCTGTATTAAATGGATATATTATTAAAGTTAATTGTATTATTATATGACGGTTACATTTCAATAATGGTAGCTTCATTATAATCCGAAGTTTGATACATTGCTGTAGAGCAACAAAAAGTCGTCTTAATACGCTTCACAGAATATACAGTAAAGTGTAGTGACTGTATGTCACCTGCGGCAAACAGGGCGATAAGCAAAAGTTTTTCAACAATCTTTGAAAGCAAACGTAAGGAACCCAGCGACAGGCTCTTTTGAAACAAATCATAGACAGTTAGAAAATGGGATTGCATGATGAAAATCACAGAGCAAATGTCTTGCAACAATACTTCGCCTATAAAAAGTGCTGTTAATTTACTCTTCAATCTATTGTGTGAAGAGCTTTCCGACGAATTGGAGAAAGGACGAGGCGCTATATCAAATGTAGGAATTATTCCGCTGATGTTGCAGCAGCTTTTATTCTAAATGTCTCTTCCTTTATCCCTTTGCTGCGCAAAACCACAACGGTAACATCAGCGCGAATGCTCACCCGCGTGTGTGCACCAACTGGTTAGAGCACTCGCTTTGCAAGTGAGAGACCTGAGTTCAATTCCAGGCAGAGGGCGAAACCTTGGGCAAGTTTCCTTACTCCACACAGAGCCTAATAATAATCCCTCCAAAACCAATAACAATAATAAATTGGTCATTTTCAATCCTCGACTGTTTGTGGGACATTGCTGTGCGCCATTGGCTGCCGCGTTCGCCCACAACTATACATTCAATTCACTTTACAGTGTGTTCTGTGAAGCGCTTTGGTACGTCCTCCCGACGTGAAAAGCGCTATATCAAGTGCAAGGATTATTATTATTATTATTATTCATAAGGTGTGGCTGGGGGAATGGGAGGCATCTTTGCCTGTCGGAGGCGGCTGGTGGCTGGTGAGAGAGTGAGCGATGAGACAGTTGGGGCAGCTGCTCTGGGACAGGACGGGACTGGGCGGGGGCTGCCAACTCTGGAGCAGAGGGAGGTCACGGTGGGGTCCACCAGAGAGAGGAGGCGGCGTGGGAGGGAGGGAGTGCGGTGGGAGTGAAGGCCATCATGGGAGGAGCGGATGGAGGGCGGAAGGGTTCTGGAGGAGGAGGACCATTTCCAGGCAGAGATGGGGAGCGAGTGATCAATGGGACAGTGTCAGCCCGTGGGCTAAAGAAGCCATCGCGCAGGGGTGGGGTATGGGGGGGACGGGGATGGCGGTCATGGCTGAATTGCCAGAGAGCGGGAGGGGAGGGAGGACAAGGCAGCAGAAGGATAATGGCGGAGACTTGCGGGTTTGAAACTGGCGCCAGGAAGTCACGTCACTCTCATCACCTGACCCGGGCGGCATTCCGAATTGGCGACCGGAAGTGACGTCCGACAGCGCGAGACCTGACCGCTATTGAGTGATGTTTCCATGTCGGGGGGGGGCGGGGCCTGAAGCCGCTCGTGGTGACCAGGCGGTGACTTCACCACATCTCATCCCGTCGGTGCCCGTCCGCGTCCTGTTGTCCCCGACACCCTCGGCCCTCTCCCTCCGCTGCTCGCGGCTCCCGCTCGGTTTACCCGGGGTGTCCCGAGCATCCCCGCCGCTCGGCGGCTCGCGGCTCAGCCCACTACGTCAGTCACACGACGTCACTGCCCGACTCCCCCCGCCTTTACCAAGATGGCGGCCGCCAGATTTCCCACGTCAGGCAGACAACGTCACAGTCTGAGTCCCGCCGCCTTTACCAAGATGGCGGGCGCCAGGCTCCTGACGTCACACGCATGACGTTACCGACCGGATCTCATCACCGATAGCAAGATGGCCGTCACCACCTGACTCCCCCCTCCTCCCCCCAACCCATTAACAAAGATGGCCGCCAATGCCCTTCAGAAAGGCACAGAGACACTCTCCTTTACTGCCACTCTCTCTCACACTCACTCTGTCTGTCTGACATGGAAACAGAGAGTGTCAGAGAGAGAGAGAGAGAGAGAAAGAGAGACTGACTGAGAGAGAAAGTGAGAGGGAGTACATCGTGAAAGGTTTGAGCCGCGGTCCCAGTGTGAAAGGTATAATATAAACTATAAGCTTTATTGTATAGCGACACAGATTATAAAAGGTTCAGCCTCGTGGCCATCACAAACAAACACAGGTCATGGCTGAGGGTTCCCTCCTCATCAATCTGTCACTCGGCAGATCCTCAGAGGATCAGAGTTTTTGCCGCCGTCTTTCAAACCGGGACTGAAGAATGGATAAAGCTTCTCAGTGAAAGTCCGGGTGAAAGTGTGGAGATGCGACATGTTATCGGCGTTGTAAAATGTCACCTCTCCCCCCTCATAGTCCAGGAACACTCCCACCTTCCCGGGTCTCTCTCTCAGGGGCAGGCGGGTGGCAGGTGAGGTACAAGCTCCATATTCATCCCCGTTTCTCAGTGTCACAGCCAATAATCCATCCTCTGGTGACACTGTGATCTCTCCTTTCCTGTTGACAGACTCTCGGGCCAATCCCACTGTCCACTGTGTCTTGTTGGCCACCTGCACCTCCCAGTAATGTCTCCCTGATGTGAAGCCCTCAGACCCCAGGACACAGCCACTGCGATCAAACCTCTTCGGGGAGTCCGGGAGCCGCTGCCGTGTGTCTCCGAGTCTCACGCTGGTCAGGTCCTCAGACAGGATGAGTCGGCGATGAGCTGTGTCAGGATCCAGAGTCAGAGAGGCCGGAGATGAGAGAGAGACACAACACCAAGTGGAGTGAGGGGACGGCTGGGCGCTCAGACTGTGTGAACACATCTACACCCGGGGACACAATCCATCTCACAGGGTCAAATGCTGTGTATGTGTATGGGAGTCGGTGGAGTTTATGTGTGTGTGAGGAGGTTTGTGAGTGTCTGTGTGAGGGTGTGCATAAAGGTCTGTGAGGGTGTTTTGTGATGGTGTGTGAGTAAGTGTGAGGGTGTATGTGAATGTGTTTGTATGAGGTGTTTGCGTGAAGCTTTGTGAGAGGGTGAGTTTGTGTGTGTGAGATGGTGTTTTTATGTGTGTGAGTTTGTGTGAGGCTGTGTGTGAGGGTGTGTGTTTCAGCGCCTGTTTGTGTAAGTGAGTTTGTGAGGGAATGTGTGAGTGTGTGTGTTAGGGGATGTGTGAATGTCTGTGTGAGTGTGTGTGTTTGAGTGTGTGCGTGAGATTGTGTGTGAGGGTATGTGTGCGAGCGTGTGTGAGGTTGTGTGTGAAACGATTGTGTGTGAGTGTATGTTTGAGGTTGTGTGCGACGATCTTTGTGAGTAGTTGTGTGAGTGGAGGTGTGAGGGTGTGTGTGAGTGTCAGTCTGAGGGTGTGTATGAGGATTTATGAGAGGGGTTGTATGAGAGGTGTTGTATGATGATGTGTGTGAGTGTCTGTGTCAGCGGGTGTTTGAGGGGGTGTGTGATGGTCTTTTTGAGGGTGTTTGTGAGGGATTGTTTGAAGGGGTTTGTGACGGTGTGTGTGAGGGGTGTGTGAGAGGTTCTGCGTGAGGGTGTGTGAGGGTGTGTGTGATGTTGTGTGTGAGAGCCTATGTGAGTGGTTGTGTGTGTATGAGGATATTTGTGAGGTTGTTTGTGAGTGGATGTATTAGATTGTGTGTGAGGGTTTGTTTGAGGGTCGGTGTGAGGGGATGCGTTGTGTGGTTTGTGATAGTATGTGTGAGGGAGTGTGTGAGGGGGAGTGTCAGGGTGTTACTGAGGTTGTGTGAGGGAAATGTGTGAGGGTTGTGTGTGAGGTATTCTGTGTGGGGTTGTGCTTGAGAGTGTGTGCGATGGTGTTGTGTTAAAGGGTTGTGTGTATGTGAGGGGATGTAAAACGACTTGTTTGATGGAACGTGTGATGTTGTGTGATGGGGTGTGTGAGGGTGTTTGTGATCATGTATGCGAAGGTCAGTATGAGGGGTTGTGAGAGGGATTGTGAGAGGGGATGTGCGTGATCATGTGTGTGTGAGTGGGTGTGTGAGTTTGTTTGTGAGGTTGCGTGTGAGTTTGTGTGTGCGCGTATGTGTGTGTGCGAGTGACGGTGTGTGAGGTTGTGTGCGAAGGGTTTATGCGATGGCATATGTAAGAGTGTGTGTGTGATGGGGTGTGAGTGTGTGAGGTGGTGTGTGAGAGCTGTTGTGTGGGGGTCTCTTTGAGTGTATTTGAGGGGATTTGTGAGTGTGTGTTTGAGGTTTTGTGTGAGGGACTCTGTGAGGGTTATTTGTAAAAGTGTACATGTTAGGGTCTGTGTCAATGTGGGTGTGCAGGTGTGCGATTGTATTTGTCAGGGTCTGTGTGGGTGTGTGTGAGGGCTTGTGTGAGGGTGTGTGTGAGGTTGTGTGTGAGCTCGTGTGTAAGGTGCTGTGTGAGCGTATGATTGTGGGTGTGTGTGGTAATGTGTTTGTGATGGTTCTGTGTGAGCGTGTGTGTGAATGCGTTTTTATCATAGTCTGTGTGAGGTCGTGCGTGAGGATGTGTATGTCAGGGACTGTCTCAAGTTGTGTCTGTGGTTGTCCGTGAAGGGGTGTTAGAGGTGTTGTGTGAGTGTGTGTGTGTCAGGGTCTGTGTGAGGGTGTGTGCGAGTATGTGTGAGGGTCTGGGTGAGGGTCTGTGTGAGAGGGTGTATGAGCGGGTGTGTGAGGGTGTGTGTGAGTGTCTGTGTGAGGGGTGAGAACATTGACATTATGGCCCTGACTGAAACCTGGATCACACCAGGTGACACCTTCCTCCTCACTGAGGCCAAACCACCCGCTCGACCTACCACCATCTTCCCCGCCCCAACCGTCATGTTGGTGGGGTGACCCTCATCTCCAGGGCGTTACTTGCTCCACCGGCTCATTCCCCTCTTTCCAACACCTAACCCTCTGCCATCCCTCCCACCACTCTATCAAAATCCTAATTTACTGTCCCCAAAACAGTCCCCAACTTCCATCTCTGACATCTCCACCTCCTCGCCTCCCTCTGCCTCTGCTCCGACCACTTCATCATCCTCGGTCACTTCAACCTCCACTTCACCCCACCATACTGCACCTTCTCACACTTCTCCTCTCTTCTCCTGTGTGAGGGGAGTGTGGGTGAGGACACATGTGTGAGGGCTGTGAATGTGTGTGGAAGTGATGGGTGTGTGTGGTGTGTGTGAACGGCGTGTGTGAAGATTTTTTTGAGATTATTTTGTGTGAGAGCTGTGCACGTGAGGAAAGTGTGAGTGAAAGTTCTGTGTGTGAGGAGTGTGTGTGTCACAGGTGTGTTTTTTGAGAGGTTTGTGTATGAATGGTGTGTATGGGAGGGGTGTGTGAATTGTGTATGTGTGATTTGTGTGAGCTGTGTTTATGTGGTGTAAGACGTTTGTGTGAGAGGTGTTTGTGCTTTGGGAAGTCCTCCTGACGTGAACGGCGCTCTATAAGTATAATTCTGTTGTTTTTCTTGTGGTGCGGTGTGCGTGTGTGAAGGGTGTCTGTGGGAGGTGTTTGTGTGAGAATTGTGTGTGGGGAATTTGTGTTTGAGGGTTATGTGTGTAGTAACTGTATGTCAGAGTTCTGTGTGTGAAAGGTGTGTATGTGAGGTGTTTGTACGTGGGTAGTGTGTGAGGTGTATGTAAGGTGTGTATCCCAGGTGTATCTGTGAGTTGCCTATCAGAGGTGCATGTAAGAGGTTGCTGTGAAAGGCGTGTATGTGTTTGTGTCAAAATGGTATGTAAGTGAGGTGTGCGTGAGTGCTGTGTGTTTGAGGAGTATCCATGTGAGGGCTGTATGTTTGAGGTGTGTGTGAGAACTGTGTGTGAGTGTGTGAGGGTGTGCGTGTTAGCGAGGGTGGGTGAGCTCATGTGTGTGTGAGAGATTGTATGTGTTTGAAGGTTGTGTGTGAGAGTGTGTGTCTGAGGAGTGTGTGTGCATGAAGATATGTGTCTGAGGGGTGTGCGTGTGTTTGAGGAGTGTGTGAGGTGTGTGTGAGACAGTGTGGGTGAGCTTGGGGGTATATGTGAGGACGTGTGTCTGAGGAGTGTGTATGCGTGTGTGTGTGAGGGTATGTGTATTTGTGTGGGTGTATACGTGTGAGTGTGAGTGTGTTTGATGGTTGTGTGTGTGAGTGATGTGTGCATGTGTGTTTGTCTGAGGGGTGAGTGTGTGTATGTTTGAGGAGGGTGTAAGGAGTGTGTGTGAGGGGTGGGGTGTGAGGAATGTGTGCGTATATGTGTGAGGGTATATATATTTGTGTGCGTGTATGTGTCTGTGTTAGAGAGGGAGGAGTGCGAATGTGTTGGGATTCAGGAGAATGTAAGGCTATTGAAATGACTTCAAGCTGAGACTGGGAGACATGTACCTGGGCTGATGTTGTCTATAATCTGTCTCCAGACTGTGTTCTTCAAAGGCCATTTGTACTTGGACACAGGAAGCTCAGCCTCACACACTGACAGATCAAAACGCTCGTCACTGACCCTGAAATAAGACACGATCACAGTATAAAGTGAAACTGCACCTTGTGGTTGGTTTATGGGTTGAATTGTGGGATATTTGTTAAAGATCATTTCATACCTTCTGTTGGCAGCAGCTTCCTCCTAATGAAATCAAACACAGACAGATGTCAGTTCAAATCGAGACACCAACACAGACAAGTTAAATGTGCGCAGAGTATCTCACGTCCCAATACAATCTCTGATCTCTTTATCAAACACAATTAGTTTGTCTGCTCCCGACTGTGTATAACCGTTACTGAACTTTTATTGAACTATAAAATAATGTCATGTCTTTACCTGCAGGAAGGTGAGATCGTCTTTTCCCAGCTGTGCCGTTAACTCGGAGAGTTGTTGTTCAACAGAATCTAATTTGCACTGAATCTCTCGCAGATTTGTCTCCATTCGCTTTAGAATCTCCTCCTCTCGCTGTCTGAGATCCCCCATCACTCGCTGCTCTCTGTCAGTTAGACTCTGGTGCATTTTAGCAAACTCACCCGTGACGTGGGTCTGCAGACTGTTCACCTGTTCCTGCAAATGTCACACATTCAACCATTACACATAGAAACCAGAGACACTGAGACATCACACCGTGTACACACAGTAACCAGAGACCCTGAGACACCACACTCTGTACACACAGTAACCAGAGACCCTGAGACATCACACTGTGTACACACAGTAACCAGAGATACTGAGACATCACATCGTGTACACACAGTAATCATAGACACTGAGATATCACACCGTTCACACAAAGTAACCGGAGACACTAAGACATCACACCGTGTACACACAGTAACCAGAGACCCTGAGACATCACACCGTGTACACAGTAACCAGAGACACTGAGACATCACACCGTGTACACACAGTAACCAGAGACACTGAGACATCACACCGTGTACACACAGTAACCAGAGACACTGAGACATCACACCAAGACACACTGGCAGCTCAAACATCAGCCACGACACAACTTACCTTCACTTGTGAAATCTTTTCTCTCTGTTTGGCTTGAGCTTGCAGAGCTGTTTCCTTCCTCTGTGTCAGAGAAGCTAAGGAGGACTTCACTTGATCCTGGAATAAACGCACAGAATGAAAGTGTTTGAGGCGAAAACATGACGTGGAAACAGAATGAATCCCTCGTGAGTTTAACGGTACCTTGTAGATTTCAGCAGCTTCGTCAATGGGAAGGAAGCTGTGGCCTCTGTGTTCTTTCGCATCTCTGCAAACAACACACAGCAATTTCTTGTCAGTTTCACAGACCAGTTTCAGTTCCTCCCGGTGTTTCTCACACTGACGTCTAACTGACGTCTGTGTTTGCTCCAGACTGAATCCACGAGCTTTCGCCACCATTTTGACCAGAGCCCGATTAACCTGGAGCTTCCTGTCAGCAGTAACTTGGCGACATACCGGACATGATCCCTTCTCCTGCTTTTCCCAGCTCCGGATGATGCAGGAACGACAGAAGTTGTGGCCACAGCCCAGACTAACAGGATCAGTGAAGAAATCCAAACAAATGGCACAGTTTAGCTCCTCGGTCCAGCTCTCAGCCTGGAGTCCCGAAGCCATGTTCAGCACAAACACTAACCTGTTTGGCTTCTCAGACTATATGTGGACGTGGCAAAGGCTCAGTTGCCTCCCAAACCGGTTCCTCAGGTTTGCGATGACATTATTATTGTATCAGAAAAAATTCCGACTGAAAGCGCAGAGAGGAGAGGCCCACAGCCAGAATCATGCATCTGTCCACAGCCCAGTCTCATTGCCAATGGCCTCGCAATCACACAGTCTGAGCTGATCCTCCGATGGACTGCTGGGGCTGGTGCTGTATGGTTCAAAGTGTGGTGCTTCGGATGAGACGTAAAACCAAGGTCCGGTCTGCCTGCTCGGGAGGACTGTAAAAATCTCCTGACGCTATTCCAAGAGAAGGGAGTGTCTCTATCTCTCTGCGTCTCCTGGAATGATTATCTGTGCCGATGTATGAGCTCTGGGGAAGGGATGGGCTGTGTTCTGGAGACACGTTTTCTCTTTCGATTCTGGTTGCCATGACATATATGAGCGACTTGAACAGATGAGATTGACAAGCGTCAGAGGAACAAACTGTGCGACAATTAAACCAGAGATTTTAGACAAAGATGTACAGAGGAACCTTTTCCAGGTCTCTTATCTTTTTTTCAACGCATCGAACACGTGAGAAGAGAATGGTCTCATTGCCCTGAGAGCAGCACAGGAGGAGATTGGGGGATGTGAAGGGAAATTTTAGGCCAGACTGCAGAGAGGGGGTTTAATCAATGGAACAAATTAACGCGATAGTCATAGTTTTGGGCATAGTGTGACTTTGAGGCGGGAGGAAAAAACTCTGTAGCACCATTTTCCCAGTCCTTGTTAAACTCGATCGGCTCCCTGTCACAGAGCGGATCAATTTAACGTTCCTCAACTTCCAGTTAAATGCCTTCATGCAATGTAACGCTGTAACTTGCTCTCTCCTTACATTACTGCACACTGCCTCCGCTCGACTGGTTCCAGCCGCCTCCCTGTCGCCCACAGGATCCACTATGATGTGAGATCGCTGAGATTATATCAATCCCGTAGTGCACTAGTTGTGAAGCTCATCTTCGCAAGCAAAGCAAGAGGACCCGGGTTCCACTCCCAGCAGGTCAATACCTAAGGCAAGTTTCCTTACCCCACTATATGCCGAGCACTGAGTACGACCCCGGTTGTCAGTCGCTTGGCGGATCGATTTATTTTGATAATTATCCATTGAAACAATCCATGATCGCTCAATGCACAACTGTTTGTGGGGAAATACTGCTGAGAGCAATTGGATGTTGTATTTCTTCCACAAAATATACAGTCAGCTAACTTCACTGTACATTCTGTGAAGCGCTTTCAGACGTCTTGAAGACGTTATCAAGCGCTGTATTAAATGAATATATTATTAAAGTTAATTGTATTATTATATGACGGTTACATTTCAATAATGGTAGCTTCATTATAATCCTAAAGTTTGATACATTGCTGTAGAGCATCAACAAGTCGTCTCAATACGCTTCACAGAATATACAGTAAAGTGTAGTGACTGTATGTCATCTGCGGCAAACAGGGCGATAAGCAAAAGTGTTTCAACAATCTTTGAAAGCAAACGTAAGGAACCCAGCGACAGGCTCTTTTGAAACAAATCATAGACAGTTAAAAAAGTGACTGCATGATGAAAATCACAGAGCAAATGTCTTGCAACAATACTTCGCCTATAAAAAGTGCTGTTAATTTACTCTTCAATCTATTGTGTGAAGAGCTTTCCGACGAATTTGAGAAAGGACGAGGCGCTATATCAAATGCAGGAATTATTCCGCTGATGTTGCAGCAGCTTTTATTCTAAATGTCTCTTCCTTTATCCCTTTGCTGCGCAAACCCACAACGGTGACATCAGCGCGAATGCTCACCCGCGTGTGTGCACCAACTGCTCCCAAGTGGGGAGGCGTGTGAGCACTCACACGGACACGCCAGTGGCTACACATGAACATGTCGTTGGCCACACACTTAATTGCGGAGGTGCGCACATGTACACTCCGGTGGCTACACATGTGTGCGAATGCCGATGAGGTTGTGAGGGTGAGCTGAGCGTGTGCTTGGGAGAGACACCAGGGCTGGAGCTTTAGCCTGTCCCACTCCAAGGACAACTGTCCTGTTAGTTAGTTAGTTAGTTAGTCAGTCAGTTGGTTATCTAGTGAGCTATCAGGGTTTTGGCTGCTTATGATATGGTGAAGTGGAGTCCTGTAGCTCAGTGGTTAGAGCACTCGCTTTGCAAGTGAGAGACCTGAGTTCAATTCCAGGCAGAGGGCGAAACCTCGGGCAAGTTTCCTTACTCCACACAGAGCCTAATAATAATCCCTCCAAAACCAAAAACAATAATAAATTAGTCATTTTCAATCTACGACTGTTTGTGGGACATTGCTGTGCGCAATTGGCTGCCGCGTTCGCCCACAACTATACAGTCAATTCACTTTACAGTGTGTTCTGTGAAGCGCTTTGGTACGTCCTCCCGACGTGAAAAGCGCTATATCAAGTGCAAGGATTATTATTATTATTATTATTCATAAGGTGTGGCTGAGGGAATGGGAGGCATCTTTGCCTGTCGGAGGCGGCTGGTGGCTGGTGAGAGAGTGAGCGATGGGACAGTTGGGGCTGCTGCTCTGGGACAGGACGGGACTGGGCGGGGGCTGCCAACTCTGGAGCAGAGGGAGGTCACGGTGGGAGTCCACGAGAGAGAGAAGGCGGCGTGGGAGGGAGGGAGTGCGGTGGGAGTGAAGGACAGAATGGGAGGAGCGGATGGAGGGCGGAAGGGTTGCTGAGGAGGAGGAGCATTTCCAGGCAGAGATGGGGAGCGAGGGATCAATGGGACAGTGTCAGCCCGTGGGCTAAAGAAGCCATCGCGGGGGGTGGGGTATGGGGGGACAGGGATGGCGGTCATGGCTGAATTGCCAGAGAGCGGGAGGGGAGGGAGGACAAGGCAGCAGAAGGATAATGGCGGAGACTTGCGCCAACCTCGCGGGTTTGAAACTGCCGCCAGGAAGTCACGTCACTCTCATCACCTGACCCGGGCGGCATTCCGAATTGGCGACCGGAAGTGACGTCCGACAGCGCGAGACCTGATCGCCATTGAGTGACGTTTCAATGTCGGGGGGGTGGGGGGCGGGGCCTGAAGCCGCTCGTGGTGACCAGGCGGTGACTTCACCACAACTCATCCCGTCGGTGCCCGTCCGCGTCCTGTTGTCCCCGACACCCTCGGCCCTCTCCCTCCGCTGCTCGCGGCTCCCGCTCGGTTTACCCGGGGTGTCCCGAGCGTCCCCGCCGCTCGGCGGCTCGCGGCTCCGCCCCTACGTCAGTCACTTGACGTCACTGCCCGACTCCCGCCGCCTTTACCAAGATGGCGGGCGCCAGGCTCCTGACGTCACACGCATGACGTTACCGACCGGATCTCAT